TGTTGTTAATGAATATTTCATTAATGAGTATTTCGGCGGCCGAGGCGTTGCTCAAAGCGGGAGCCACTGACTCCACGGCGGTGGTGCAAACGCTGGCGGTGGGACTGCTGGGCGTGCTGATCGTGGTCACGCTGGTGAGGGTGGTGTTGCCCCCACTTCCGGTGTTATTGAGATTCACTGGCAGCGATGATGGCGGAGTGAGTGGTGCACTGAATCCGGACACAAAGGTGGCGTTGCTAAAGGATGCATTCCCATTGGTGGCAGCGTTGGTGGTGGTGCTCGAGGTGCTGGAGCTGCTGCTACTGCTTGTGGATGGCTTCTGTTCCGGTATGCTGAGCGTCAGCTTATCGCCTCCCTATTTTTTGGTTTAGCAAGCATACAGACACAAGCACACGGAAACAACACACGCAATACCACGGATAAACATTGAGTGCGGACAACGAATGGAAATAAAAATGTACAAACAGAAGGCATGAAACGAGTGCAATGCAGTGGGCTTAAACTGGTTCGCTGGCCGACAACTTACCACTGATATGTAGGTGGCGTTCAGGGAATCCGGTCCATCGCTGTGTGTATGATGGTTGGTGCTGCTGCTGTTGCTGTTGCTGCTGTTCGTGTTGCTCGTGTGCATGTTGCTGCTGTGGGCGGCCGGCACAAACATCTGATTGGTGAGCTTGGCGTTGCCGCCGGACCCCATTTCCTCCTCAACGCGAGCTGAAGGATCAGTTAATGTATTAATAGTACATTTAATAAATACAGACAATACAAGCTTTATTACAGGCAAAATATTATTTAGAGGTAGTTCACTATAGACTATATAAAAATATGTTTAAGCACATATAATGGGACAAATAAATCTGGATTTGGTAGTTTTCGCCTTTGAGGAATATCTACAGCTAGTCAACTCACCCTTTAGGATATTGCACTTGATGTTGCCTGGCGGCAGAGCCGTGGTGCTCACATTAGCCAGCTTCACTTGGTTGTTAGGCTTCTCGTTGGCGTTCGACAACCGCTTCAGCGTCTCCGTGTTATGGTCCATGTCGAAGGTCTTGTTAATGGTCACCCTGATGAAAAACACTCCAGTCAGTATATTTCATTATCTAAACAAAGAGTACGCTACCTGATACTGTTAGCATCATTAATGGCTTCGTTTGCTAGTACTGATGGGGATGGATCTTTGACAATGGACTTAAGCAATGAGTCTAGCTCTCTATCTTTATCCGACAAGCCGCTCTTTACACTGCACAATGATATACACAACACAGAAAGACAGGTGAGAAACACATAGAAACAGCAAATTAGTCAATCGGGAAGTGGAAGCAATGTGCATATAGGTACATCAATAAGTTAGCAACACGAAAGGATTACCTGAGCTGACCGGAGCTAATGGAAGCCTTGCCAAAGCTGCCGTGATGGGAGGTCGATGCATTTCTGAACGGATTGGTCTCATCGAAGTTCTTGGTTGCATTTGGTGAGTATGGTGGCGTGTAATCTGGATCCAATCTAAAAAAAGTAAGTTTATTAAATAAGGGGATTAATAATATAATTTAAATTTAATTCCATACTTCACAGTCAAACCCGCGGCTTTGCCGATTGAGCCAATCTTGCTGTACGCCGGATCCTCGTTGCTGAAGTTAGACTTGAGGGAGTTGCGGCCTAGCGAGGCAAAGTTGGCTGCGGCCTGGGAGGAGGAACTGATGGAACCGCTGCAGGCCGCATCCGGTTCAATAATGGCCGAGTTCTGAATCACAGTGAGCACCGAAGGCGAGGGCGTAACAGTGATAAACTGATCCGTGGAAATGAGCGAGTCGAAGGCATCGTTATTGTTATCGTTGCTTGGAGTTGGAGAGGATAGGTGGGAAGATACTAAGGGAGGCACTGGTGGAGCTGGTTGGGATGCGGCTGCGGCCGCTGCTGCAGCAGCAGCTCGAGCATTAACTGTGGCAACCGCCGATGCTGCCGACTCCTGTGAAGCCTTTTGTCTTTCGCGCAACAGATGCGACTGACGGCTGGCGAATCGCTGTGAAGGACGCCTCTCAAATTGCACGGTTCTCCTGGCGCGACTCTGCTGCGTGGTCTGGAACTCGGTGCGACCGGAATACCGGAAGCGGGAGCCCATGCGGAAGAAGTTCTGACGTGCAGAGGGACCTTTAACGGGCGCCCTCAGCCGGAAGAAGGTGTGGTGCTCCACGGCGCACTTCCACAAATGCTTGCATGCCTTTTCGTTGTACAGCCGGAAAACAAATGTGTGCTCCTGCTCCCTGCCTTCGTCGTCGTCTTCGATTACAATGAGTGTCAGTTTCTTTTTCTTGAAATCCAGCTTGCTGATTTTGGGCCAAAAGAACAGGCCAATTTTTTGATCTCGCTCGAAAACCAGTATGCCAGTGGGAGTAAGGCCGAGGTGGTACTCGCAGCCATCCTTTCCGAGCACCGTGTGCATGTCAACGCCGTACATGTCCAGCCACTTGGCCTTGTTCAGGAATGCGGTCTCAGCTTGAGCGGGCGTGAGGCCCCGGCACGTCTTGTACTCGTCAAGGATGGATATCTCGAGGTCCTCCGTTTGTTCGGGCACAAAACGGAACTCCGAAACGGTGGCCGCCGAATGCTCCTGGTTATCGAAGTCGCCCAGTTCAGCTAGAATGCAAAAAAAAAGGTAAGCTAATTTATAGAGAGAAACTTGAAACCAAGTATTTAGCAATAACTTAAAAGTTTACGTTTAATTATATAGTCTTAAACCTCACTTGTCTTATTTATTTATATAAATCTAGTTTTAAAATAGAATTTAGTAGTAACATGTTTTCGAAATTTAACGTGAAAACAAAAATATAATTTTTAATTGTTGTCTGAATAAATGATAACATATGTGGTATAAATAAACACATACACTGCAATGCCAAAGCGCATAGTTCGGTGGACTTGTCGTCCGGGCAGTCGAGTCGTCCCTCGAGAAGATCTTGTTTCAGTTGCAGAAAGAACAGGTAGCGGGTAAGTTCTTCGCGGAGTGTATTCGGTTCCGAAGAGTAGAACTTCACCTTCAGACGGAACGTGTAAGGTGGTCCAACTGCGGGAAATAGGGAAATAATTAGTATTGTCTTGCCCACGTAATTGAATTCACACATTAGCTCACTTTTGACCTGCTTCTTAATGGGCTTGGTGGGATCTAGCCAGTGTTTGACATGATTGGCATCCATGAACTGCAGCCCGAAGTAATCCTTTTCGATGATGTCCAGTGCGTAGAAGACCTGTTCGTACAGAAAGCTGCCCAACGCTTTTTTCTGCAAACGTAAAGTGGATGAAAATTAATGCCTTCGGCGGGGGGCAGGTGTAAATCAAAGCGACCCTGAACTAATCACGTTCGCTTAGCGGGTTAAATTATGTGCTGATCAGCAGCAGTTTGCTTATTTTATCACACTAGCTGATGCGGTGCAAGCTGTCTGGTGTCTTCGTTAGGGTGGATCGATGTGAAAAGAGAATAATATCATAGGAACGGAATGACATGCTAAAAACGTTTTTTATTTAACCATAGATAGCTTTAAAATAAAATATCTAAACTGCGTACGGAGCTCTAAAATTCAAAGCTAACAATGCTTTGTTTTCGGTTTGAATATATTTTATTTCGCCTTGAGTAAAAAAAAAAACGGTACCATTGTAACTAATAAATGGAGTAAACAACTTTATTAACCATATCTTATTACCACTATCTGAGAATTTAATTAAAGAAATGCTCGATAGAAAATATTATTTGTTTATGATTATTTTTACAAAATGTATGACTTAACTCAATCATAATGATTTCCGTATATCACCATGTGTTTACTTAATGGCTTATCGAACTAATTCAATTAAGATAAAAAATTTATTTTTATAATACTTATAAAATAATTATATTCAAATCGTTGCTGTAAACTACTTTTTACCATCACTTTTCAGTTTATTTACTAACTCTTCTATAATTTTTCACTCAGTAGAAGTGAGGCACCCTACTGTATACCTCTATCTTTATCTCTACCTTGAAAATTCTGCCCTTTTGAATCCACCCAACTTGCACCAATTTTATAGCTTATTTGTTTGGCTTTCGACAATTACTGCAAACGGCAGCAGTTTTAAAACCAAAGGGTTTAAAACCAAAAATGGGCCAAAACAAAATGTAATTCGATGTGGCGCGTACTCACCGATAATTCGATGGAAAGGTCAGTGTTGTCCAGCAGAATGACGCGGCAGTCGATCTTGTTCTTGTTGACCACGATACGCTGTGGCTTAATTTGCGAACCACTGGCGATGGCAGCACCACCCCCGCCCACTGCGGAACTACCGCCCGGACCACCGCCCCCTCGAGAATTATCCACATAGTTGTTGCGCACCTTGCGACGACTTAGAAAACGTAGCATTTTCGTTGGATTGTGTTTTGTTTGGGTTTATTTATAATGGGTAAGTAGATACACGGATGGGTTGTGTGTCTAAGGTTGTTGTTTTTATGGAACTGTTGCCAAGGCAGCCGAATGCACCGATAATTCACCTGTGTGCTCACCTCGGCTGGGAAAAAAAAGCAGCGCAGACATCAAAAAACCCCTCGCACACACACGCACACAACTTGTTCTGGCTAACACGCACACACACCAATACACCGAAGCGATAGACGCCCCCGTTTAATTTTAGTTTTTCTTTTTCTGGATTCGGGGAGTTGTATTAAAGTTGCTGCCAAAACTGGGCGCTCCTTTCAGGCGGTTTTTTCTACGGGTTTTCTCGGGTTTCCTTTCACCTCCCCCCGAAAAAATCACTGGTTTTTTTGGAGGCGAAAAAAAAGACTGGCTAGCAAAACACGTTCGTTCCCGTTTCGCAAGGTTTTGTTCTCCGGTCTTTCAATCGGTGTTTATCGCGTTTTTTCACTCTAGATTGGCTGTCTTAACTGAGCAATTTGCCTCTACAGCGTTATTTTGTTATTATTTTGGGCTATTAAGTGCACTTTTGTGATTTTATTAGAATGTAGAGTGTGACCAGACGAGAGCGTTGTGAAATACCAAGCGTTTCACGAACATACACCGAAACGGGAAATGTATTTTTGAAAAATACTAAAAATAATGAAGGTGGAGAACTTTGATATTATTTGAGCTGAGACACTAACCTGACGGGAATTTCGAAAGGCAAACGTAATTTCGTTGATTTTAAATCACCAGGCTTTTCGAATTTAAATTTTGTCTCTATGTAACTATAAAATAAACTTATACCTTTATGAATTTTTTTTATAAAATTGTACCTGTTTCATAAAGAGTAAAGTTATTTCGTGGGGTTACCATGGACTTAAAAGCAGCTTGATTAAATTTGACAATTATATATTTATAGAATGCTATTAACTGTATAAATAAATCTAAGTTATTGAATAAAGTATAGGAAGTACATAAGTAAATATGTGTCTGGAGTTAGCAATTAAAAAAAATGCGTTTGGTCATAAAATCAAATCAATACTAAAATGGTGTTTAAACGAGGTAGGAAGAGAACTTCGAAATAACGAAGCTTATATACACTTGGAACTGTACAAAATTCGGACGACTACATCTTATAGCTGCCATAGGAACGATCGAAAAATGTATCGTAAAAGCGACCTAGCTTCATTGCTTTTCAGTATCGAAATAATAATTTATTGGGGCTGATTTCAAATATTTTTGATATTTCGCTGTCGAAGAACTTTTTATAATAAGCAAAACGGTTTGATGAATTGCCTTAACAAAAGTTTTCTGCTCCAAAACTGCAATGAAAATTACTTAAAAATAATAAATAATTGACTTTATTTAATCGGTGATACTTTCCAATCCCAAAGGCAAACAATTTTTACTGACTCGCCGCTCATCTCCAGCTTTGCTATCGCCATCCATTATCAGATTTAGGGTCTAAAAGTGATTTGAAACATGTTTGAAATATATTTCCGACCTAATTTCGGTTCCAAGCGTAAGCCAAGGAATTGAATCATAAAAACTTGACTTTTCTGGCCGACAGGACCCTCACAAAACTTGTTGGCATTTGCGGTCGCGCAATTCTTTAAGTTTAGTACGAGCAACTAAGCAAGAAAGAAGTGCACAATAACTGTAAAATAGGAAACACAAGTGGTATCCGTAGTTGCAGCCGGCATTTGCAAAATCCTTTTTATGGACAATTTATTCCTTTATTTGTTAGTGGATTTAAGGCCGTAACAGTGTCCAACCCGCACCCCAACTTCCCCGATTTTCCCTCGATTTTCCACTCCCCTCGGGCAGATGAAAGCGCCCCATTGGTAGTCGTATTTCGAGTTTAAAGGTAAATGGGAGATTTATCGCCGGCGATTTCCGGTGTACATATATGTGTGTGAGTGTGTGTGTGTGTGTGTGTGTGTGTGTAGTGGGTGGTGGGTGGCTTAACATCTTGGCTGCGGGCTGTGTTTATATCGGGGTTTTAGTGGGCCCTCGAGAGGTTCGGTTTTCGGGGCCGAGGGCTTTACAACATTTGCGAAAAGTTGAAGCCATTGAGCGCCAATTGCATGATTCATTTTCGCTTATTGGCCATTAATTTTCGATGCCGCCGATTGAGGCCGATATATGCATTTACATTTTTATCGAATGTATTAGAGATCCGCACAGGCTGTAATTACCCAAATGGCCGTTATAACAAGGCGCATGATTAATTACTGGCTAATACCTGAAACCCGATCCGTGGTCAGGCCCGATTGAAGCGACCAGAGCAGCATCGTATCGGAATTGCCCCTCCATCCACCCGCCCATCCGTCCATCCATCCATCCATAATAACTAGACAGGCGACGATGCAGGTCTTTAGTCATGGCCAATGTCTTAGGTGCCAGCTGCGGCAACTTGAGCAGCCTGTTCCGTAATTATGACAGCCGGCCAAAGGCCCTGGCCCCACGTCTCCGGTCTCCGGTCTCAGCTCCCAGATTCCAGATTCCAGCTCCCGGCTGCCCTGATCCAGGTTCCGTCTCGATTTTCCTGCCGCAGGGGTGTGGCAACAATTAACAAATGGCTTTCGTTGCCATTGCCATTGACCAAAATAGACATGTTTGCAAAGGGTTACAGCCACACGCATACGTGTGCATACATAAGCGAAACGCACAGTGCACTCCAACAAATATTCACAAATACATCAAAATAAATTGGTAATTACTTATCTAGTTATAATTCAAGATGTAGATTTTTAAAAAAGATTTGAAGTCCCAAAAGTATTCGGCATGTGCTTTATTGGTTATCTTTATACCAATTTATCTTTAAATATTTTGTAAGAGCCAAGTTAGATACTGTTAGCTATGTAAGGCCTACAAACAGCAAACTGGACTTAAACTCAGTGTTAAATTATAATAGCATTTCTAGACAACTATTTCTAGAGCTTGAAAGTTATAAATTTTTTTAATAATTTTATCCTAATTATTTATTACAAATGTGCTTTGTGGTTATCTTTATACCAATGTTTTACTTCAAATATTTTGTAATTTTAAATTATATTAGCATTTCTTGACAACTATTTTTAGAGCTTGAAAGTTATACATATCTTAAATTTGTATTTATCCTAATTATTTATTACAAATGTGATTTTATATGTGATTAAAAGCTAAGTTAGATTTTAAATTAATGATTATTATTTTTTAATGATACATTTTGGCGCAGATACAATTTCTGCTTAAATGCGATAGTAGATACGCACAAAATCAATCAACTGTATGTGCTGTGTAGTTAGAAACATTGAGGGTAGTTAACAATAGTATGCATAGGTGATTAGTTTCTTAAGTTTAAGTGCACTGTCTGCAGAAATGTTAAGTCTTTAGAGCGTTAAATGATAAATTCCGTTCTAGGCCTTCTTATTTCTCCCTGTACCATGTGTGGCATTTGTATTGTCTTAACGATAATGGCAAGTCGTGGGTATGTAATACGAGGTGGGCAAATATTTGTGTCCGTTTGAGTGAGTGTGTGGTGTGGTGGTGCGGGGTGGTGCCGGGTGGTGCGAGGTGGATTGAGGCGGTGCAGGGAGCTACAAAAGCAATAACAAAAGCAAAGGTAAACTATTATATTTATATGGACGTCTGTGGATGCTGCTCCGGACCAACTGTCTGCGCACTTATCTGCAGCTGAGTGGAAAATAAATTCCTTTTAATTAAAACCGCAGCACAGCTCGTGATTTAAATGGCTCACGGCTCAGCCAGAATCAGCGGAAAAAGCAGAATCCGAATCAGAAGCGCTGTGCAAATTTATTGGCTTCCATCCATAAATCAGCGACACAGAGTTCGACTGGCCGGCCAAAAAGGTGAATTCATTTTAATTAAATAGAAAAATGTTTTGTTGTTTACTTGGCTTGATGGGCGCGCTAAGAAACCCTTGCCGTCTGGAATATATCCTGGCCATCGAAGGGAGCGAAATTCATGGCAGGGAATTCGAAATTTTCAGTAATTGGCTACTTAAGGTCCTTCGATTGGGGACAAGGACGAGCGGCTGCTCGATTGGGGACGAGTGCAATAAAAACAAGAGAGAACGCTATAGTCGGGTGCCCCAACTATCAGATACCCGTTACTCAGGTAAAGGGAGTGCGAGGGAGATGGAGATAGAAACTTTGATCACGCATAACTTTTTAACGAATGGTCCGATTTGAAAATTTTCTTCTACATTTCGATAGGTATTGATAAACACAATAAAACTGCATTTTTACTTTTCCGAAATATTTAAATTTTAAAATCGTATATAAGCCATTGTGGGCGTTAAAGGGGCGTGGCACCATTTTGAAACAAACTTGCGCTGCGTAGGAACTTCTAAAATCTACATGCAAAATGCCAATCTTCTAGCTTTTATAGTTTCCGAGATCTCAGCGTTCATACGGACAGACAGACGGACAGACAGACGGACAGACGGACAGACGGACAGACGGACAGACAGACGGACAGACGGACATGGCTAGATCGACTCGGCTAGTGATCCTGATCAAGAATATATATACTTTATAGGGTCGGAAACGCTTCCTTCTAGCTGTTACATACTTTTGCACGAATACAATATACCCTTTTACTCTACGAGTAACGGGTATAAACATCCTCGTGTTGTAAAATTTTATGTGTGATTGTGTGTCGCTTTACGATATCCTCCTGGCAGCCAGCTCCTGTTCGTCCTGCTCCTGCTCCTCCGAAGTTTCTTCCATGGCCAGGACCATCGTTACTGTCCGGAGACAGATACGCCGGAGTCGGAGTGGTGGGCCCATCAAGTGGGGGCCAAAATGGGGCGTGGCAGCTGGGCAATGGGCGTGGTGGGCGGTGGTGGGCGGTGGGTGGTCGATATTTGTTGTCTCAGCGAAATTCTCCGGGCAAAAACGATGCGATTGCCGTTACCTGCTCACCTACGCCCTGGGGGAATATTTCACGGCTATTTGGCAAGTCAACAGCTTGTTTTATTTTGGCATGTAATTTTCGATGAGTATTTTTATGACAGAAAGGCGACAAAAGCCAAAATCAATTGGAAATCAATGTTGCAATAGTTTTCGCTGCTTTCACTTTCACTCACAGCTTCACAAGGCTTAGTTGATGGAAACTTTATTACTGGGTGTATAAAACCACAAATAATTATCACACTATTGCTTTGTCACATCAAATTAAGGAATATTAAAAACTAACTAATTTAATAAGGGGTTCAGGGAGTTTCTTGAAGTACTACTTTATTTTAAATAAATTGTATATTTTATATTAATAATATTGTCTATGTGAGTAGCATTATATTAATTTCATCAAGCTTTTTGGGCCTGACATTTTTTTAGTTTTTATATGAAAAATCTAATATAAAATGTAACGTTGTTATTGTGGTCAGTCATTTTTTTATGTCAAAATCAAATGTAAACCAATTTGGCCATCCTTCTCAAAAATAAAAGTAATTAGGCTTACATTAAGCCGCCGGCAATGAAAAATACGCTGCTTCGCAGGGTGATATTTTAAATTACGCACAATTTATTTTATTTTATATTCAATTTAAAAAGTGTCAACTTTCTTCTCCA